CTAATTTATTATCTTGCAGTATGTCAGGCTGCAGAGAGAAAGTGAAAGCAGGAAATAAGCATTCTTCAAGAAGCACTTCCTGACCCGTATGTACAGATAACTGAAAAACTCACACAGAGTAATTTGAAAAGGTATTCAACAAACAGATCAGATGTGTATTAACTAAGATTATCACAAGGAAATACCTTCAGTCTTTTCAGAAATTCACAAGAGACCCAGAGCACATCTTTGATCTGTTTCAGCCAGGGGATGGTGAGATCTTTTGAAAGGGCCAGGGATACATACCATACCTAGAAAAGTAATAGTCTGTCACAACAATGCAAAATTGCAGAACTATTATAACGTACGATACGATAAAGTATATTTCAGTCATCGCTTGGTTAAAAACTTACTTTAGGTTCATTCTCCACATCCATGCTACTTAGTATGATTCTACACAGCTTCTCAAACCTCTATGTAAGCGAAAAAAAACAAATCAATGCCATCAATAAGAATAGACAATATTTAAAAAAGTAACTAAACAAATCCTCTTCCAATAAAAATCTTAACATTGCATGATGCTCACCAACTTATCATCCTTGCGCAATATAAATAATAATTTTCTAGCGATTTTGAAGATGGACAATGCATTTCTTTTTGTTGAACCGGCATCGCTGACTGCAATGAAGTCATCGACCTCTTTCCTAAAACAGAAAATGTGAAAAAGTGATAAATCTGTGTCAGGGTACATCACTATGCTGACAATATATTTTCAAACAGCAACTACTGTGAATGCCATAAAATTAAAAGTAAAACTGAAATAAAAATAAATTCAAACTATTTAGAAATATTAAAAAAAGACAAATTAATAAAAATGACAAAAGCACTTAATTTAATTAACCTGTTAACTGTCGGTTCAACTTTTTGAGCATAGAACTTAAAATGACATTTCCAACTTAAATTGTTAGAAATTGTGAATGCTTTGGAGCACAGACTTAAGGTTGGTCTCTTTTTTAAAGAAGACACTTGGCAGATTATTGTAGAAGTGAAAAAAAGTTATAAAAATTATATTACAAACAAGTTATGGAAGTTAAAGTTTATGAAAATATAAAAATTAAAATATTAATATTTTATATAAAATATATATTTTACAAAGCATGTTTTACTCTAAAACTGCTAGAAAATTAAAACCAAAAGTCTGAACAAGTCATGTTCCAAATTTGAGGTTGATATCTCAAAAAATGAGCTTTCAGTGCGATTTTGTTTGGGCGTAGTACCAAGCTTTTCCACTAGATGACCATCAAACCCCATTAGTAACCATATAAGGGCGCCTCCATTTCCATATATGGTTTGAGTGATCTGAAACATGTTTTTCCATACTTTTCTCAATAATTATGAAGTAGACATCACATTCAGAAGTATTAAGGGCAGTATGGCATTATTTGATTTCAATTCAACATCTAAAAAGCACATAAAAGACATGCGACGAGAACCTTAGACCTACGTTACAGTTCACGCTGCATCAAAAATGGAGATGGTCCTCACTGCAGAACACAAGATCCAGGGGGCGAGGTTGGATCCAGATCCAACTCCTCCCACCTTACATATACCTAAACCTACCCGTCTCCACCCCCTGATCCCTAAACCCACCCATCTCCACCCCTAAACCTACCATCTCCACCCCCTAGATGTGGATCCAACCCCGTCCCCTGGATCTTTGTTCTGCAGTGAGGGGCTACTGGA